CTTTGACTTCTCTCCCATCTTTTGATTTCCCACCAGTGCCTACCATCAGTCAAAGCCAACTGGAAACCAGAAAGCAAGATATCCTGGCACAAAATCAGGCAGAAAGAAAAAACTGATCTGAGGGTGGTAAATGGAAAATGACTGACACCTAATATTATGAAGAACATCTAACTCTTGAGTCTTCATCCACCTAAAAACAATGGACATCACTGATAAGTAGGCACAGAACAGTAACGCATTGTGAGTTCATTGACTTTTGGGTCAATGTATGCCATGAAAGATAAGTAGTACAGTAGCTATGAATTTTATTCGCCCTTAGAGCCCAAGTCACGAAACCCACTCAAGGTAGTAAAGATGGGAGACAAGAAACAAGACAGGCAAGACTTCAGATCCGCATGTTTCCATCCTAGCTTCAAGCAAAGCTGTTTTGATTGAATCTATTTATTATATTTGGTAATATGCAAAATTACATAAGAAATATAGCCGTCTAATGGAAAGATCCAGAAATAGAAATTAGGTTTCCTAGGTCTATCAGTAACTGACAATGTTACTTTAAAAAGTAAACTTAAGCAATCTGTCCCAGTTTTTTCATCTGTAAAATGGAAGTTATAACGTCTATCCTAAAAGAATCATAGTTTTGTGAAGATCAAATGAGAAAACGCATACGGTTTTCTTCTGAAAAGTTAAACAAGTTCTACAAATGTCAGCCCTATCACTTTTGCTATCTCCTAAAGCTGTCCCTGAGTATAAGCTGCCAATCACCATATCCTCTTTTTTGGGCTATCTTTCCTCTACACATGGAGCACTTCACTCAACTCCAACTTAAACATCACACACAAAGGAAAGATAAGCAGCAAGAAAATCCAAATGCATTGGCAATACCACTGCATGTTAAAAAGAAAGAACTAGATTCACGTTGAACTTCGTTTTCGTGGTGCATAACTCTCCTTTCCATAGGTCCTATTAACTTCAAAGGGAGCTCCGTGCATGTAAATGATTATATTTATTGGATGCGCCAACTCTTTCTTATCCTCCGGGCACAATTAGAAATATCATAGAAAAATGAACGTCAGAGACTTGGATCCATATTTGATATTCTATGGGAAATTCCCCATAGTTACAGATGTTAAAAATCCTGCCCAATGGTCCAGTTATAAATTTATAGTATTTCCTTTTCTATATCCTTGGAATTATTTTTCTCTGATTTCCTTTTTACATTAAAGGAAAAATATTCCCTTTAGGTCCAGATAAACTAGTGATAAAACCTTGGCTTGTTGTACAGCTTGATATAGTAATACAAATTTAGACTGTGTAACCCCTCTCTTTCAAGGAACTGTTAGTGCTTCCGTGAGATTATCCCGTTAATAGTTACAGGAACTCTTCCTACTTCAAGTTCACTCTGGGAACTGCTCTTAGAGTCAGTGTCTAGGAACTCAATTCTTGGATGTTCAGCTTAATATCATATCCACTAAACCACACTGTAATTTCAGTGTTCCTTGTAAATTCAGGCCATTATCAATATTTTTGTTAGGTGGCTAATAAACTTAGCGTTCTGTAGCTGAAGTCGCCACAATAAATTAAATTTGCATGGAGCCCTGTGCTTTTCACACCACTTTGGTGTTTGTTCACTTTAAATTTAGTAGTTTCATGGCTCACAGTGGAAGCGTCCCTAGTACTGACTCTGACAAAATAATGCCCTCATTCGGTGCTATCAGTGAATATAAAGACCTTGAAAATGTTATAGACATGGCTCCTCAGCAATATTACGTATTATATATTTTATATATAATCTAAGGGTAGGTTAACTCTTTAGCTGCATATTTTTTAAAGTGACAAAAAAGGAGAAAAATAGAAGAAATCTTTCAAATTAAATATTTAGAGCTACTATAAAAGAGAACATGCTACTATTAAATGATGAGAAACATTGCTGGAAATGTACCCACATCTGATGATGATTGGCAAAGATACAAAGGCTTTTTAAAATAATGTTTTGATAAGCAATAGGACTTACAAAAGATTCATTTTAACTAGCCTTACAGACAAATAAACCATATCATATTAATTTGAACCCATTTTTAATTATTTGTAAAAAATAAGTAAGCAAGGGCAGTCTAATTGTTGTAAATATTTATAGAGCAAAACAATCCAAACTAAATATAACAATCAACTTTCTAGTGAAAATGTGTGTAAGTAGGTTTATTTTGAAAGGAAAAGTCCTACTCCCAGTGTCATAACCAATTAAATTCTCCAGGTAATGACCCCATTTGCATAGCGAGCGGAACCCACAAGTGGGAATTTTAATGGGTACACCACCTGAGTACAGTAATTGAGAGTGACACAACTTGAACTAGTTTTGTGCTTACCCCACTGAAAATTCTACTCATATTATTTTTAATGTCAAGCTACAAGTCAAATTTCAAGATGATGGATTTGTTCTTTTTTAAGCACTGAGTTTGAATAAAAGAAATGCTTTAATTCTGTTATGCACTGCATATCTTTGCTTTAACTAATCTGTACTTCTGATTCTCACCATTGCTTCATTTTCTTCAGTGATTGGAATTTAATTTTATTCATTAATTTGTGAATAATTAGATAAAAAAATAATGTCCTCAGCAGCTAAATTGCTTTTGGATTGCGATTTAATATACTTTTACCAGAATATGTATTATAGTTAAGCTGGCCTAACAGTTTACTAAAATGTAATTGTGTAAATATGCCCAGTTATTCTTTTTGATGATCTAACAAAATCTAATATAATATGTATTCATGGGTATTTTACTCCTCCTTCACCTCAGCACCAATAAAACACAGTTTCTGCAGAGCTGATCAGAGACACCTTGTCATCTAAAGATGTTACTTTTAAAAGATATTCTCCTTATCTCTCAGGCCCTATTCATGTCCTTGAAAGAATTGTGCATTCTGATTGAGGGATCATATGACGTCCACATGAAATTATATAATAAAGGTGATTTCAAGACTCTAAAAGTCAAACACACACGATGAACTAGGTTTTGAGGTGACATGCTAAAACTTCTTTTGTTTCACTCTAAGATTGCTTGCGATCTAACTATTTGTAGGTGTTTGACACCACTCTGCCACATCTGTAATTGGCATAGCATCCAGCAGACAGGCTCTGTACATCTTTACACTGCATCCTACCAAGTTAAGAAATGTATTGGTTCAATATAAAACAGCAGGCTGTTTTTAGACATAGTTACTAGTGCACAAGCTTTAATATGGCTTGGCTTCATCCTATAATGAGATCTTTTGGTTCCCTGCTCAACAGGCTTTTATTCCTTTGCAAAAGGCTATGAACTATGTCAAGTGGATCAGCTGCTTTTGTACACCCTCTTTCTTGGCTTTGGAGCATAATTCCTTTGCTTCTACCCCTTTATGCATCAGACAGAACTTAAGAACCTTTTCCATTTTTCAAGCTAAACTTAGAATTTGTTTGAATTTGCTTTTCACCATTTTCCTAATAATTACATTCTCAACTAAACCTCACACAAAGACCTGCCTGGAAGTGAACACCTAATTGCAGAGCTATACTTTGTCTTTAACACACATATCTATACCCCATGTTGGTAATGTGTCAAAGGATGGTTATCTGAAATGATTTCTTCACAGTCACCTCACAGCTAAATTAATGCTTCCTTTTCAGTGAGCACTAAATGGGATGTGGTAAGGAATTGAGCACATAAATAGACAAACAAACAATGGAAGTAGAACTACTAGCCACAGTTCAGTCAGAAGGCAGGAAGCTACTTAACTTGACATCTGGCTGCTTAAGAGTTATAGTTGAGGCTCTAGTGGAAAGTGTCATGCTATTGTGACAGTTTGGTGAAGAATGGGTGGTGCAGATTCTGTTTGCATAGAGACACTGCTTTCCAGGTGGGGCTCGGCTGTGGTTTTATTTCATTTCCAGATTGTCTATTGTCTTCATTAAAATTTGGTCATAAATATGATATTTTGAGTTATAGTGCTTTAAAAGGAGCAGTCGTGGTCCACCGAGAATTTTGCAAAGTATGTAGAAGATTTAGTCATCAATGATAGCTTTTGTAACACCCACCCTCCATGTTAGGGCTGCATTACAATAGTACCCCCTCTCCACAACTTCTTCCATTTTAAGCAAACTCGAAAAGCAATCTTAAATAAGGAAGTAAACACTGGCAGGTTCACTGTTGAAACTGTTTTCTCACGGGAGGTGCCAAACTTCTTCCCTGGGTTGAAACTTCTTAAGGGTTATGTGACTTTCTTGAGGTGCCTAGTACCAATCCAAGCACAAAGAAAACACTCATCGCAGTTTATTGTGTGGGCATATTGGAGATGAAGGGCTGAAAGGATTTTGTTTTAATACCCAATGCTTGATTATAAAAACTATAAATAGTAAGTGTGGAACAAACCCTATTAATATATTACCCATTGTTTAAAACAAAAATGATATGTTCTGCTGTATTAGTGTAAAAGAAAACAAACTGGATATTATGGTATTTGATGAAATTTTCTGTCACCAGTCAGATTAGATATAACAATCCTACAGACCTACAAATCACAAGTAATTGGAAGGGGCATAAAGGTCTTGAATAATTTGAAAAATAGTCTTATGAATAAATAACTTGGTTAATTAGGCAGTTAGGTAAATCTAAACATTTAAGTATCATTCAAGAAGGCAAGATATAGAGTCTCTGGGCTCAAGTCTTATTTATGTTAGGCAGTGATGTTTGACTCTTATAACATTAGAATCTAGGGCACTGACAGAGTTTGTATGGATAAAGAATGGAAAGTTATTACATAAGGTTGCCTTGGTTACTCCTTGAACTGCTCAGATAACATTGACTACCCAGGTGAGGAAAACGGATACAGTTGATACACTGTAAAAATGAAAAAATAACTTTCTAAATAAAAAGTCTTCTCCTAAATAAAGTCATACTGTACTGTTTTAGTTAGATGCTAACTGCAAAGCATTTACAAAAATTGTGCCACTATATGCCCTACATGGAAATTCTTCTGATTTATTTTTGGGTGAAATTCATTAAATCTAAGACTCAATTTCATAGATGTTCGAACATTTTTGCATTGGTTTTTAATCTCGGCACATATTGTAAAATTACCTTAGTTTTTCTAAGTGGAAATATAGTTCCAAAGTAAAAAAATGAAATTAATTTACTAAAACGATGTAAAAAACTTGTATTTTGACATATTATAAATTTTTAAAAGAACACTATGTTTTGAAATCACATGTCAATGATCATTTACACCATAAACTGATCGATATTTTTCATAGTTCATTTATGGACACGAGTCATGTGATTTACATAAGAAGACTCGGAAATCTTCAGACAGGGATGAAACAGGATAAAGACAACCTACAGGTTTTAACTTATGGTTGAATTCTTTCAAATATTAGTCAATATGTCAATTAGATATAAACATACGGTAAAGCAAAATAAAGAACTCATTTAAAAAAATTTTCGAAATAGTGTATTCAGGATAATACAAGTCCAGTTTTAAAACATTTTAAAAGCCTTTCCACATTTAAAAGGACACTGCCTATAACTATAAATTCTAGCACTTAGTCATGATAGCCATACAGTTCAACAAAACATTTTACATTAAGAAATCATAAGATACATTAAAACTATTTTCACATTTGCCTACTTTTCCTTTTTCTGTCTTCCTTTTAATTATACAAGATACTTTATGGGATGACTGTCTGGAGTAGACAAGAGGAAACGTACTATGAACATAAATACAAAAATAAAATTCTGGTATCCATTAACATTCTCTGTTATGGAGAAACAGTATTTCAAATGTGCTAATATTTTCATCACAAATTGTGGCAGTATATGTTTAAATATTAGACTAATCACTTGGTTGAAAAACTGCATATAAAAAGCCAAATATTCTAACAATTCCAGGTCATTAGGAGGTTTCATGTGTCCATAAACAGATGATAGTCTCACGTCCTAACATATGAGCGTAAGTTAATTTTGGGTATATGTAAATATTTAGATTGTGGCTACTGTAAAATAGTACAAAGATTTCCTTATATTTTATGTAACAAATGAATTAAGTTCTTTAGAGGAGAAAAATGAAGACAGTTATTTACCAGAATTATATTCAGATCCCCAAATTTAAAGGTTTTATATGTGTGTATGTACGTATAAGTAGCAATAAAAGAAAGATTCAAAAGTTTGCTAAGTTTTTTCTTTTTTAAGCCCTTTAAGTAATGATATAACTAGAAACTAGGTTTCATCTCAAAGGAAAAACCACAGGTGATATTCTCATGCTTCAGGTTAAAAACCTCTCTTAAAAGGCTAGGTTTGCGAAAGGCTTCCTAAAATTATGCTTCTGTTGTTACTATCAATGTGATATTCAGCCAGAAAAATTAAAAATAATTATTAATCCCAAAGCATACTTCCAAATTTCTACAAAGTAGTATATTAAATCAAACCAAACTACAATTTTAGAGAGATCAAACTGAGTAGGAGAGTGCATGGTATGAAAATTTACTCTCCCTTTCATCTAAGTCACACAGTCTCTACGTCTCAATAACTATATAATTAGTCTTATAATTGACTGATTTCTTTGCACTTAAGGATCATTATAACCTGCCATATTAGTTTAATTTAACATAAAGTTGTAATACAGGAATTTGGTCACAGTAGTGGATGTCTAGATTTCTTCTGCTTTGAAAAGAATGGTTTCCATTTATCTGTGTTTACAAAAAATAGCAATGCTTAAGAAACAAACCAAAGTAAACAACTAAAATGCTCTCATCCCAAAAAGACCTAAAGCTCTCAAATAAAAGAGAGCCTTTGAGTAACTCAGAACACTGGGATTTTAATATTAAAAATTTCCCAATTTAAATGAAATGTGTCAGAGTACTCAATCTTCTTTATTAAATAGAGCTATTTTACTAAGGCATTATGTTTTCATCAAAAAAGTATGATAACATTTAAATTATGTGTAAGAAAATGCATACTTTTATTAATTTAAACTTTATAGCTTTTTTAAAAAGCTGTATTACTGCAACTAATAACAAAGGATGCTGAAGGCACTGCTCTTTTAACTGGTTAAGTGCAGACACGATTTAGGGTGTCCATCTAAAACTTTGTCAAAAATTGAAATAATTCATTTAAATACCAGATGACTCACTCATTCTAAGAGCGTCTTCAAATGCCACATTCTCCCTGAAGCCTTCCTGAATATTCTGGTAGCAATTTTCTGCGTATTCCAACAGCCTTTTGAGTTTATGTCTCTTATAATCTTCACTTCAGTATACCTTGTGGTATGGTTCATTCTTTACAGACCTCCTTAGTCTGCTAAATCTCATGTTCCTGTGGACAGGAGTGGAACTGTATCTATTTCCACAGTCTGAGGAAGAGAGTCTACACAGTAGGCATTCAGCATCTGTTAAACAAGCGGAGAAGGTAAGGGAGAGAGATCAGCACTGGTTCCCAACTATTATGTGGATTTGTTTCCTAAAGTTTCTTTTAAAATAAAGACTGGTTTATTTATTTACATATTTATTTATTTATTTAGAGATGAAGTCTCGCTCTGTCACCCAGGCTGGAGTACAGTGGCACAATCTCAGCTCACTGCAACCTTCAACTCTTGGTTCAAGCAATTCTCCTGCCTCAGCCTCCCAAGTAGCTGGGATTACAGGCACCTGCCACCACACCCGGCTAATTTTTTGTATTTTAGTAGAGACGGGGTTTCACCATGTTGCCCTCGCTAGTCTCGAACTCTGAGCTCAGGCAGTCTGCACACCTTGGTCTCCCAAAGTGCCAGGATTACAGGCGTGAGCCACTATGCCTGGCCAAGACTGCTTTCTTTTAATCACGAATAGATACATATCAAATAAACTGCCAGGTTTAAATACTCACTGAAAAATAATATATTTGGAGCAAAGGGCTCCTGAGAATGGTTAGAAGAAACAGAAATACCAGTAAAAAGGAGAAGACATTTAACATTTGGGGAGGGGGGTGTCAAAATGTCCCTAAGTTATTGTAACATATTAAGAAGTCTATAAAACTAGTTAAAGTAGTTAAAATTTCACATATTAAGCCATGTAGATTCAGTTAAAGTAAAAAGGCTTTCAGAGATTATTACAATAATGAGTTAACAGTGCAAATTCCATGTTGTTTCATGAGAATCTTACAATGTGCTTTTCTTCCCCCCAAAAGTAAATTTTTAAACACTCTCCAGTTTTAACACAAACAAAAGATAAATATTTATGAAGGAAAACAAATTCCACAGCATTCCATACAGATTTCCAAGCAGTCTGATGATTCACAACAGGCATCCATGATGCCACAGTCCATATCACAAGGGCAGTTACAGTCATCCCCCATCTCATCTCCACAGCAACAGCAGCAGGCTTCTGAGGTGCAGATGCCACAAGACGCTTGTCCCAGGACAATATTGCAAAGGGTCAGGAATTCGCAGAACAAGCAAGCCAGGATACAGTGGACGCAACAATCTTCATTTTCAGTGGTAAGGAGACCATGTAGTGAGAAAAAGGAGGAATACAACATGGTTATCAATAGATTCAGTAAGAATTGAGCAAAATAGTTAAGTCATCCACAACCCAAATGAAGTTTGCTTTGTGAGCTGGAAGCTCAAAAAGGAGCTTAAGTTAAACTCTAGATGAGTGATCTTTAGAAGTAGATACTTAGTTTGAAAAAAAAAAAAAAAAAACAAGTATTGTGTGTATGCACATGTGTTCACATGTGTTAATTACTCTCACAAACTGTGCAATGGCTCTTGGTCCTAGATACCACTTCTCTATGCTTCTTATCCATCTTTCTATATGCTATTGCTCTTTATAACACTGGGCTAAAACAATTGCATTTTAGTTATTAAAGTCCTTCAGAAATAGAAATTTCCTTCAATTGCTCCACCCCACCTGCTCTAACATTGAAAAAGAACAAATTTACATATGAAATATTTGATGTATTATTGAAAAATTAATTCAATAGTTAAACCAGAATCCATTAAGACTTCACTTTCCAATACAAATGATTCAATTTCATGGTTTTAGGCCTTTTATTTCACAAATATTAAATAAAAACAGTGAGACTCTCTGGTTGGGTCCAACTATTGTTTCTAGAAGGTTTCTTCTGCCTACTTCTAACAAAGGAATTTATACTTTAGCAAATGTGAATAATGACACAGTAACATTGCTTTCCCACTACCTTTGGTGGCAAAGAACTTTAACATCTCTGTTACCTCCTGACACATCTCTAATAATGCCTCTCTAAACAACAATGTTCACTAAACTTCATAAACTGATAAAGTTGAGAAATCAAACAGATTATAATTTAATAAATTTACATTCTAATGTTCTAATGTCCATTTCTTTATAATTCTGGGGCAAGTGAAAGGAGTAATGGAAGGAAATTTCTATTTCTAGATAACTTTAACACATGTAATAACATCATTTAAAACCAATGTTATAAGACAATTGCCTCATATCAGAAATAGTTGTGAATTTTTACCAGAATTAATTCTGGGTTATTTTGTGTGGGTTCCTTGTTTTTTGTTTTTGTATTTTGTATAATATAAGTTTTAATAAGAAGATTCCACTTCCTACAATAGCGATAAGACACAACCACCCCACCCTCTTCCCATTGTCACATGTCCTTTGTGTTTCTGTATTTGGCATTAAAATTAAGTGCCTTTGATGGAGTGTCAGCAAACTGTGAAAACCAAAGATGAAAGAAAGAAAACCAGCTTGTTGCATGGCAGCCATGCTCTAATACAAAATCATGCACTTCTCTATAGAATGCCATATAACTGCATGTAGATGTGAATTGACAGAATTCCTCTACTACAGATTCCTCGGCTACAAATGCTTCAGGTAAGGAAAAACAAACACCAGCGTACCTACGGCAGTCTCTTAACACTACAGGCCTATACCCAAGCATCCCATCATAAACTCCCTAACTCCTAGAACACCCCTCTGTTTCTCTGCAGATTCTAACTTTGTAGAGAATTCAGAGGATGAAAGGAGAAAATGTGGAAACACAGTCATACACTCCACCTGCCAGATGGTGAAAAGGAGGAAGGGGCAGAGAGAACTCAAAAGGGAATTTCCAGAGTTGTGTTTGCAGAATTAAAGGCTAAAAGGACACACTGTTCTTTCCTTTTTTTTTAGTGCCAAGCCCACTTTTACATATGATGGTCCATGCAGCAATTGGAAAAACAAAAACAGAGTTGTGAGTTTTCAGGTTTCTCCATCTTCCCCTAATATTGATTTCTGGTAGTAACAAATCATTTCAGGGGAACTCTAAAATCAACCTACATGAATAAAGGCCCACGACCTTACAACGTTCTGGATTTCTAGACAGTGTCCATGGTTTCCCTTTATCAACACTATTTCCATACTTTCATCTCAGCATCTGTCTTATATGACTCAATTCAGTTGAGTTTTTCCAGAATTACATTATCATCATGATTTGTAAAATATTTGAAATGTTATAAACAGCTAGCTTCATTATGACTTAGAAGATATTGTTTAACTGGCATCAAGCCAGTTTTATTCAATGTACCTTCAAGTGAATATCCATATTATCTAATTCCAATAATACCTCACTGAGACCTTAACTTTCTATTCCACCATGCAATGCTTAAATATCAAGATTGAGAGAGGGACTCAACAAAAACCCACTGACATTGAAGAACCTTTAACAGAATGTTTTTAAAAGCCTAAGAGTAGTTATTGATTATGTAAATTATTTATATACTAGTCATAAAATTTATCAGACATAGAACTACATAGCCAATGATTGATTTATCCATTCTATTATTTTTTATTTTTCTTTTTTGAGACAGAGTCTCACTCTGTCACCCAGGCTGGAGTACTGTGGCACAATCTTGGCTCATTGCAACCTCTGCCTCCCAGATTCAAGCGATTTTCCTGCCTCAGTCTCCCCAGTAGCTGGGACTACAGGTGCCCGCCACTATGCCTGGTTAATTTTTTGTATTTTTAGTACAGACAGGGTTTTACCATGTTGGACAGGCTTGTCTCAGACTCTTGACCTCAGGTGATCCACCCGCCTTGGCCTCCCAAAGTGTTGGGATTACAGGCGTGAGCCATTGTGCCCAGCCTCATTCTACTATTTATGGATATTTTGGTCATCACCAGTGTGTTGCTGTTCCTAACATGGCTGTTCTTAACATTGCTGTTTGAAACAATCTTATCCAGGTCTCCTAACATACATGTTACGTAGCCAGCAGTAGGATGGTTGGGTCACAGGCTTGCTCATCTTTAATCTTATTAGATAATGCCAAATTTGTTCCCAAGATTGTTGTTCCAAAATTTAGTCCCACAAACTAAGTATGAGAGTGCTCATTCTCCACGTTCTCACCAATCTTTGAAACCATCACAATTTAACATGCGGAAGTTGTGTGTGAAATGGTATCTCATGGTGGTTTTATTTTGCCTTTCCTTGTTTCCTAATAGGTTTGGACATTTTTTCATGTTCATCGGCCATTCATGTTTTCTCTTCTTTGAAGTGGGTGTTCAGCATGTTCATGTTTTTCCCTAACTTTTATATTGGGTTGCCTCCTTTTTCTTACTAATTTGTAAAGGTTTTTCAGATATTCAAGATACTGGTCCTTTGTTAAATATGACTGTCTTCTATCAGAATGTGACTTAATTACAATAAACTAACAAAAGGGAGATAAGTTAACTTTTGAACTCAGAGAGTTTAAGGTGAGGAAGGGAAAGCCAAATTAAATCTTGTTTGATAACACTGGATATGGGATTACATGGCTGAGGAAGTTAAGTGGCAAAGAGAAAAATCTGATAGCTGATCAGCAAAAAGGAGGAGAGGTGTTAGTAAGATTTGATAGCAGAATGAAACAAAAAAGTTTTAGTATCTAATTCAAAACAAGGAACTCAGCTATGCCAATGACAGAAAGGGGGAAGAAACCAATAAGCAATCAGAAGAGAGAGATTGGATGTGATTGGTGTGAGATCAATAGCCTTGAGGATGAAGAGAGATGGGCGTGACATTCCAAACTAAACCACTAGTTGCCTCCCATAGGATATATTCATTTGAGAATTAATATTTCTTCCAGATTTTACACTATAATGACACGTCATGAAGATTTTAAAAGTCTTAAGCCAAGAAATGAATCTCTTATAACTCCTACTTTAGTAAACAAGATTTAGAAATTAATTTGCCTGTTAAAATATCATTTTATTTTTAGTAGACAAAGAATTTTTTTTTAAGTTCTTAGGTCTAAATAGATCAAACACTCCTTTGCTAACTTCTCTTCTTCAACAAAACCTGTTTTCTATAACTGATTGGTGTAAGTGGTTACTTTACTAGAATGGGAGCTCTAGCTTTAATGCAGGAGAAGTATTTACTTGCTGTTTTCAAAATTGAGAAACATATTATCTTAAAAGTAGAGATGTTTTCATCAATTTTTCATTTTTTTTTTTTAAAAATGGAAACTTACTTTGTACTAAAGTCCCTTTTAAGGTCTTTATAAATATTGATTAATTTTATTCTAATAAATACTCCTAAGAAGTCATACCAGTATTATGCGTATTTTACCAACACAGAGACTGATTCACAGAAAATTTAGGAAATTTTCCCAAGGTCATAGAGGGAGTGAGTAGCAGAAACAGGATCAAGACCCAGACAGTTAACCTCCTGAGACCATGCTCTCAGTCAGCAAGCTATGCTGCTGTTACAGGAGTGGGTCACTTCTGACACTTGGATAATGCTCCTTGGAGGAAGATCAGTTACAAATCCAAAATTTTCTGCTGATTTGTTTTGTTCATCTATCTGTTTTTAGCCTTGGTTCACGTCCCTTTTCTTTTTTAAAAATTATTCTGAATTTTAGTTTTAACAAAAAGTTGAAAGTAAATGTTACCCTTCAATATGTAAGAACAAAGTCATCACTAAGTTGAAGAATTAATAAACTGCCAGTTGCATTGTTAAAATAGACATAAGAGAGAAGGCAGTGTGGAGAGAGATGATGTCTCAATCAAAAGAAACAAATCTATAAATTTAAAACATAAATTTAAGGACTGTAGCTACATGATCAAGAGCTCCATATGCAGTAGCTCTTCATGTAAATATTAAAACTTACAAAATGGAGACATTGTTTTAAAACATAAGTCCTTTATAATTTACTAGAAAAGTACTCTGGGTTACTCTGAAAAACCAAATCTATTAACAGGCATCTAAAGAAGCCGCAAACCAAAACGCATTTACAAGCTCATAGAGATGTTAAACAAGATGTAGCTACAGAAGTATCTACCAGAAACACATTCATATTCTTATTTTTAAAATAGAGAAATATCTAGAAATTACAACAAAAATTAGCCAAAAAAGGTTCCTTAAATCCTACCAAATCTTTAAATGATCTGATTGTTATTCCTTGCCAAAAATCTTTTTTTTTTTTTTTTTGGTGGGTCTCTTTATAAAACCCTTCTATCTGTAACCTTCTATTTCTGTCATA